GAGGGAGGGAGGGAGGGAGGGAGGGAGGGAGGGAGGAAGGAAGGAAGGAAGGAAGGAAGGAAGGAAGGAAGGAAGGAAGGAAGGAAGGAAAGGAAAAAAGAAAAGAAAAGAAAGTGAGTAAGCCTAAGCCCAACCTGGCAGCTCACACCTATAATTCTAGCACTTGGGAGCTAACACAGGAGGATTGCCACAAATTCTACATAGTGAGTTCAAGGCCAGCCTGGACTAGAGAGCAAGACTTTGGCTCAAAAAAACAAAAGAATAAGAACCAAAACAGAAAAGAAACCATCCTGAGAAAAGCTCATTTGTCCCCATTCAAACAGTCCTGTTTACTTTGCCACTGAGCATCATCCCCAGAGCACTCTTTTGCTTAATAGCACCCCATGACCACTAACCAACAGCGAAGAATGGTGGTGTGATGGTGTCACTGTCATGGTTGACAACTTGACATGCCTGGAAAGAGGCATCTTCAATTGGGGAATTTCCTCTACTGGACTGGCCTGCGGACATGTCTATGAGGCATTTTCTTAATTACTGAGTGATGTGGGAGGGCCCAGTCCACTGTGGGTGGTACCACCCCGAGTAGGTGGGTTGTATAAGAAAGCAGACCAAGCACAAGCCAGAAAGGCAAGAGAGTAAGCAATGTTACTCCATGGTTTCTGCTTCAGTTCCTCCCTCCTCACTCCTGGCCCTGAGTGTCTGCTCTGACTTCCCTCAATGATGGACTAAGGAGAAACAAACCCTTTTCTTCCCAAATTGGTCTTAGTGTTTTAATCATAGCAACAGAATGCAAACTAGGACAGTCAAGTTCTACTTTTTCATTACATTCTGTGTGTCTGTCTGTCGGTGATGTGATATGTGTATATGTGTATGTGTACATATGTGTGTGGAGGTGCATGTACTCATGCATAACCCAGAGGATGATGTTGGATGTCCTCCTCCATCACTTTCTACCTATTCCCTTGAAACAGTGTCTCACTGAACCCGAAGCTTGCCCAGCCCCACCCTACCCTCCATTAGACTGGTGGCCAGCAAGTCCCAGTGATCCTCTTGTCTCTGCCCACCCCCTTCAGTACTGGTGTTACAGGCACACACCACCACACACAGCTTTTCATGTGGGTGCTGAGGATCTGAACTCTGGTCTTGTTTGCTTGGCAAGTGCTCTTAACCATTGAGCCCCTTGTTATACTCGACTTGGATGAGAATGCCAACTCCACTAAGTGAAAGGATCTGGACCTTCACACAGAACCACAGAATCACATTGTATTAGTCACTTTTCTGTTGTTGTGATAGACACACAACACAATTTATAGAAAACACCAACACAATT